ACATGTCAACACCATCAGCAGAGCCTGAGAAATTAGCAAAAAATTAAATTAGTTTGTCACTCTCACTCTGTAGGGGGGAGGGAGGCTGTCAATCAGGAGGGGGTGGGGAGATGGATATTATCAGCCAGCGGAGACAGGAACCAAGTGATGAATGCGTGGCTCATTAAAGCTGGGAATTTGTGAAAATGTCATTTCCAGGCATGGCAGGAGTGACTCTGTATGGGGACACAGCTGCTAGGGGGTAGTGGAAGGGAGACAGGGGCCTTAACAACACCTGGAATCCAGAACATGGGTGAATCCCCTGGGGTGCCAAGTCCATCCCAGCAAGAGACATAACCTTCTTTCCCAAAGCAAGGCCCATTAGTTTACCACCATTGTTAACTTGAGTAGAGCAGCCCTCCACAGTTAAATATGAATCAGGGCATTAGCACTCTCTTGTGTCTGGATTCTCACTAACCTTGTTGCTTGTGAGTGTGAACTTGGGTCCTACTGCTTAGGAGTTTTATTCAAGTCGCAGGCTGGGAGTGAGGTTCTGGCAACTGTACCCTCTTCTTGTACTCACACGCTTGGAGTTGAATCCTGGCACTAATAGCCTGCAATGTGCAAAGCCCCCATTCCTGGTGAGTGTGACTTGCAAAACCAGTGCTCCTTTCTGTGCAGGAGCCTGTGCTGTCTCAGGTAATGAATGTTCGGCTGACCTCTGTTACATCGACATTGTTTAGCAAAGTCAGCAAAAGTTAAAGATAGAATGACCATATTGGTGTGAACATAACAGGGCTCTTAATATCACCCAGGGGCTCTGTTAAGATGGTGTCTTGTGAATAGAAAGAACGTGGGACTGGAAATCAGAAACTAGGCTTTTGCAGTGTTTGCTACTTTGGTGATGCAATTTGTCACTGACTCCAGGGGGCTGAAAGGAGTAGGCTTTGCTGTCTACCACCCCAGTCATGTTTGGGGACCACGTCATGCATTTTCACTCTCCTGGGCCTTCTGATCCTGATTATACTAAACCAGAGAGAGAGAGAGAGACCCAGCTGACATCCCCATCTCCAGCACCTTCAGAGGAGTCCTGTGTGGAATGGGAGACTCTGGTTCTCTTCCTTGTGTGCCCTTTTCTTCCTCAATCTTATTTCTCTATTTTCTTTTCTCTCTTCTTTTGCCCTCTGGTACATAGCAATCTTGCTTAGGGACCTAGACTGTTTCTTTTGCAGCATTCTTATGAGCTAAAGACCAGAAAGGCAAATAAAAGCAGTGACTTGAAGAGCCCAACACTGGTAGAAGTTTGCCTGGACTCAGAGCGATAAGACCATATGACTGCCTTGCTTCAGCAGTCAGGGGCAGAAAGAGATGCTTCAGTTTTAATCTTTGCTGTTCTCTTCTCTCCTTTTTTGAAGGTGATTGTTTTATCTGAGGAAAAGCAAGACAGGAGTTTAATATCAGCCAGAACAATAGCTCCAGTCCATTCAACTACTTTCCCCTTTTTTCCAGAGAGAAGGACAGTTGCCATTTCTAATGCAATGGAAAGGACTGTCAAACCAGGTTGAGCACCACTGGTCTAGGCCTAACCGATGCCACTGAAATTAATGAGTTATGACCCCACTGCACTGGTATGCTGTGAGCATGAATCTTGCACCAGCACACAATTGGAGGATTTTTTCTATGTGCAAATATTGACTCATTGTTTGATTTTATAAACTGTCTGTGATTTTCTGTTTCACAATTGTCTCCACATGCTACTCCCACCTGCTATGAGGACAGAAAGAGAAACAGGAGCCATTCCCCAATGACAGGGCTTCTCATGAAAGACTGCAAATGTCTGCAAAAATGTTGCCCAGGAAGAACGAAAGGTGGAAGTGCATCTTCACACATCCATTTTGGAATAGGGTGACCACCTGTCCCTAATTGGGCAAGACAGTCCCAAAATGTGAACATCAAGTCCCGGTCCCAGGCTGAATGACCCCGGGACAGCATTTGTCCCAGCTTCCCAGTATTGGGCAGGTATCTGGGTTTTCTCTTCGCTGTGGAAAAACACAGGCAATGGCAGAGTCCCAGCCTGCAAAGCTGCTGGGCATGAACGACTTATGCCCCCAGTGGCTGAGGGGGCACGGTGGCAGTGGGAACATGGTGGTGGCTGGAGGAGCATGGCAGCAGTAAGCAGGGGAGCTCCCACAGATACTGCTGTCGCTGGCGGGGAGGCAAGTGCTGACCAAGGGTTGGCAGCCACCTGCAGCTGTTGCCGGCAGAGGCAGTGGCAGCCAGCAGAGATTGTGGACTGCCTGCAGATGCCACCAGTGGTGTCAGTGGTGGGGTGGCAAGCAGCGATTGTCCGCAAGTGCTGCTGACAGCGTCGACGGCGCCTTTTTGCAGCAAGTGCACTGCCACACTCAGGGAGTGCATGTGTACCCCCTCCCCCCATGCATCACCCCTGCTGCTGGGGGCTGGGGGAGCAGGATGCAGGGAGCGCCACATGCATGTGCGCACACATGGCTGGGCACACAGCCAGGCAGCGGGTAAGTCTATGGGGGGAACAGATTGAGGCCCCCACGGTGAGGAAGGGAGTGGGGCAGGAGAAGGAGCAGGGGCTGGAGTTGGGGGTGCTGCCCAGCTGGGGTGGTGCATGGGGCCCAGGACCCAGGCAGGATGGAGCCTTGGGTGGCTCATCTGGGAGGTGGTTGGGTGGGGCAGCTCCCTGCCACTGTGTGCACTCCCAGGGAGGGAGGCATGGGAGGGCACGTGCCCCACAGATTTGTGCATAGGGTCAGGGAGGACACGGGCTCCCTGCCTTGCTGCCCTCCCCTGGGGCTGCCAGAAGCCCTGTACTGGCTGCACCACCACGGCAAGGTGTCCCTTGCCCACCTGGCAACAGTGGGGGAGGCGGCATGGAGTTGTGTCCCCGCTGCTGCCAGGTGGACAGGGGGTGCCTCATCATGGTGATGCAGCCTGTGGGTACCCAGTGGGAGGGCAGCAGGGTGGGGAGCCCTGAGCCTGCAGCGGGCAGCCCACATGCTCCCTCGACACTGACTCCTCTGGGCTCTGCTCCAGCCCTGCTGGGGGGAAAAGGAGGGGGTTGGGTGGTGGGCATGTCCCTCACCTTTCCATTTTGAAAACGTGGCCGCCCTATTTGGAAAGCC